AACGATTACCTAACGAGCCATTCATCTTAACCAACTAACGGACCAGACAAACGGCGAATTTACAAAGAAAACGCACATATTTCTTGGAGTAGAAGTAGACGTCGAAGTCATCATCTTAAATAGCTAAATTTAGAAAATATGAAGCAATATTAGTTGAAATCACATACTATTAGAGTCTGGTCAAAAATTTTTTTTTTGAAAGGGACGTAAGGCTGACACATTAAACCATAGTGTTTAGTAAAACAGTAGCGACTGATGTGTTATCCACTTATTCCTGAAGAGTTTCACATTCACCTACGTTTACAATGATTTTTGGACCAGTAGCTCCGAAACTTCAAAGACCAACATAAACTCGCTGGAAAAACCGAACTATAGCCTCTGTTTTCTGCAAAACCACATCCCTTAAACTACGTAAACTAATATGAGTTTTAACGCCATTCGTTAGGGTTACAAACAAGCCAATTATTTTTTCAAGAACAGCTCCTACGCTATGAAGTTCTTTTCGTGCTTAAAGATATTTTTGCTTCTTTCTTATAAACTATTTTTTTAAAGTTTTTGATGGGAAGAATTTGCTCTCATTGGCAGCTTCAGTGCAAGGGGCAGGAACATTAGGCGGAGGTAGGAAAAGGAAGGAGCAAGCGAAAAGGAATAGTTTGCAAGAGTATTCTTCGGTCTTTGTTCGACTCAAATGGCTAAGCGGGCTTTATTGACCAAGATTTCAAGATTTGTTGGTCTTCACATAAGCGCTTTAAGTTCTAATTTGCGCTAATATCATATACATAAAAGGTAGTTCCATGCTGTATCGCAAGCTTTTTTCAGTCGCTATGTCAGGTCCCCTTTGACTTGTGTGCCCAGAAGATGAGGGCAGGTTTAGTAAACTTTGCAGATTACAACAAAAATCTGTATTGAGCTATCGGAAAGCGAAGTTTCGATTTAATAAAACTGTCCTGACAGTAGTCATTTCCGCAAGTTTGAAAAGATTTCAATATCATTTTTATTCAATTTTACGTTCTGATTATTTATGGATCTGCTGGACACTCCACAGGTAGTTGAAGAAAATTCATATATTTATTATTTAAAATGTGTGTTTAAAAGATTTAAATGCAACTTTATTAGGAATTGGTGATATGCATATATGTGAAAGGTTAATTAGGAGTATCATTGCAGTAGCATCATAACCTAATATATAAACAGTTGACTGAATTTTGCAGTTAGATCACAAATCAGTAAAGTTTGATTTTTTTCTTAATAAAGCTCAGTGAACGCTTTTAAAGTTAGCGAGAACCTATACCTTTTTTTTGACTTCATATAGAATTTCCTCAAACGTTTGCTAGACATCCTTTCAGGTAAGCTTAAAACGGTCTAATTTATGGTTCCGTTTTGTTGAACCTAGGATTTTAAGCTCTTGACTAAATTGCTTCGCATAGTGGTTTTATAACTTGCTTTCAAAGAAACTATGTCCGTAACTGTAGATCAACATCTTCAACGTTCTCACAATGATTGCATGAAAAAGAACACAATTTGAAAAACTCAAGTTATTTGAAAGAAAAAACGCTGGGAGACTTACCCCGTGAATGGTTACTGGTATAGTCTCTCCAAAAAGACAGATCTCCACATGTTCTTTCTAACCTTGTAGCATTCTGAATTCCTTGAGAACTTCTTCAAACAACGACTAATGAAAATTCGCTGCCACATCTACGCTGTGTATGACCAATTCTTAGATCCCAAGTCACCTGGCTGGTATTAAAGTGCCACAACCATTTCAAAACTATCGTAGCCATGCACCTTGAATTCGAAGATAGCTAGTTTTGCCACTGATAAATTTTTTCTAATTCTCCTCTTTCGTGAATCCACCTGTCAGCTATCAATTATTTTCCTCTAACCCGTGAATTCAGAAGAAACGAGCTCAAATCAATAAAAAAACTGAAAATCTCGAGGCAAACACTGTTACAACACTAGGATGGTAGTTTTTGGGCAACGAAGACCCCATTCGTTTTGTATCCTCTTTGATCATGCATTCTGCATAAAGTCGCTTAACTCTCTACATTCATGGCTCACATTTTTTTTGAAATCCAAAAAGCAACAAAAGTGCCTAGTGGTGCCCTTCATGTCTCATATCTTTTACTTGTTGTTGAAAACTTCATACAAAAGCGTTGATGCATTTACATTGAAGACGACTGGTTTAAAACGGCGTGTGAGTTTTTTTTGTAGTTTCAACTCTGCTCAGCTGATATTGTTCGGAAAATTGATTAAAAAGCTTCTTTATAGTCGTTACCCACACTCCTATTTCGGATAGTGACCTCTTACTTCCTCTCCATTTCAGTCTTCATCTCTCCAACTCTTCTTTAAAGAATCTCCCCGGACGTGCCAAATGCTTTCTTTAGCATCTCCAGTTTAACAACCAACAGTACAGTCGCTGATACGCTTGACTGGCGACTATAAAAAATTTTCAAACACCACCAACAGTAATAACTGAAAACAATTCTGCGAAAATCCCGTGGTCGGACACTACGGCGATGAAAGCCAGATAGCTCTAAAGAAAAATTTGTGGAAAAAAGGAAAAGTAAGTAATGCCTCTTCTTGTCACTTAATTTTTCATTTGTTATGCACAAGACAGTCCTGCCTTCCTTTATAACAACACCTAGACATAAATCCGAGAAAAAAAAAAAAAAAGAAAAAGAAAAAGGTTAATTTCAAATACGACATTACAGTATAAAGAGAATAATAAAGTGCATTCATCTGACAAACCAACATTAAATATTTCCTGCTAGATCAGGATAATCGCGCTTAAAATATTAAGCAATAAGAACAAATAGCAGCAATCTTCACAGTAAAACCCCAGATACAGATCTCTCAGTTTCCTTGTACTCAACTTATTTGTCTTTTAGAGAAACTGATAAACTAGTCAATCTTTTTTGCCATTTGCATAGATTGACATGCACTTATCAGCACACACTCATCTTCGTCCTCTTTCCGCTGGTTACTGTGAACAAGTATGAAAGAAAAAAAA